GCTGAGATAATTGTGGCTATAGAGCTAGCTATATTATTTACTCATTGGCGATAGAGTTGAAGGAAGCACTTTAAAAGTTAATTAAATGGGATGGGATTCTTATGATTTAAACTTCCATCTATAAAAGTTTGATTTAGCAAGTGCGCCGTTGTAAAGAGTCGATCATGTACCACAAATTTGCTTTTGCAGATTTTCTTGTTCCCTGGCTTTACTGCAATGCTGACTGAACTTTAAGTGAAAATGTGAATACCATTCATGATGCAGGGTGCATACAGATACCTGGCCTCCATTAAAAGAGATATCCAGCCGAATCCACTCCTTCAAAGGTAGGGTGAATTTAGTTTTTACTGCAAGGTCTTCTCCTTTGACAAGATGCATTTGAATATGCAAATGACCTAAAAGGAAAATGGAAGCTCCTGAAAAAATGACCAAAAAACACCTAGAAGGGAATGAAGTAGCTATACCTTTCTAACAATGGTGCTAAAAAGCTGAACAACTAAATCAAGTTCCTTTTTTCTTTAAACAAAGATGAAGCAAAAAAAAAATCCCAAACTTAGAAATGCATTCCTTTGTTAAAAAAAAAAAAAAAGATGTTTTAAGCTTCCAGGGAGAAAAAAAAATCCAAAGTTTAATTTAAGGTCCACATTTGAAGACAATTGCTCTTCCTAAGCTGCTATGTTGACATCTTCTTTATTCCACACAGACATATCTGTCAATAGGCAGAGCATGAGAAAATTACAATATCATTTTAAAGGTTGATTTACACTCACCCTCTTCAGTAAGAAATACAGAAGGCGTGCCGTACATCTCATTAGAATCCACGAAGTACAGGATCCCACAGAGACTGGCCTTGCAGTAACGGAGTAAATAAAGCCACAAGGAAACTGTAAACCTATAAGAGTGTGGAGGGAAAAAAAATTCTGCAGATTGCTACCACTCAAGAACAGGTAATTATACTTAACAATGGCCCAGTAAATTGCTTTCTATCCTACGAAGGGGTGAATTTACCTTCGTGTTCATCACGGGAGATCCGCTTACACTGCTTGATTTTTGAGACAAAGGGGGTGGGTATAGTAACTGTGAAAGACACAAGTTATGCTCCATTGTGTAAAACTAGCAGACATTCCACCTTGCACCAAGAACTCGGTTTCTGAGCCTCTTTGAAAAATCTCACATGCCTGCTATTTGAATTCTTGATTAAGGCTTCTAAAGCCAGGCATAGAACAAAAAATCAGGATTTTAATAAGAGATGATTTGATAAGAAGCTATTCTAATTTCAATGATTAAAAGAAGAAACATAATTAGGGCTTTTTGGGCAATTTTAGTTCTGTCAAAGATAAAAGCCCTAAGGTAGAAAAATGTAATGATCGGCAAATTCTATCACTACGTGATAATTGGGACACGCATATACTATTTTAATCTCTTTTAATGCTCACGTGAGGTTTGTCAGTATCATGGTTCTGGCTGACCAATATGGAACAACTAATGTAATTACTTCTTTTGTGGACTAGGGCTGTTTTCATCAAAAAAAAAAAAAAAATTACACATCTGTGATTTGGAGAGTGAGGATGAAATAACAGTGGCCAACTTAACTAGAACACAATTAGGCAAGATACGTGTTCCATCAATCATTCAGAGTGTGTTTGCTGAACACCTGCTTGATGCCACATGTGATGCCAGGGACCAGTACTTTGAAAATGGGAGGATGGAGGCTGGCAGGTGGCATGGTGATTAAAGGCGCTGGACTCCCACATGGCCGACCATGGTTCGTGTCCCAGACCTGGCGACGTGCTTTCTCACTTTCCTTCTTTTTCTCACTCTGTCCCTCTCTGGTCAAATTTTGCAAAAGAAAGAAATAGAGAGGGAAGGAAGGAAGGAAGGAAGGGAGGGAGAAAGCAAGGAAGAGAAAATGAGAGGATGGAAATCATTGCATTTTGTGCAGGAAACATGAATCGAGGTCAAAACAAATGTACCACGTTCTGTCATTTTTGCCAGTAAACAATTTGCAATTCAGGTCACAGCAGTGGTGACTGCAGGTTCTTTGGCGATACATCTAAGCAAGTGCTTTATCACAAGGGTCCTCAGGCAGCAGACTGGTGCCAGTCCATGGCCTGTAGGAGGCTGGACTGGAGACCAGCGCCTGGGCCACACAGCAGGGGGTGGGCCGTGGGCGAGGCTTCGTCTGTGTTTGCAATCACTTCCCATCGCTTGCATTGCTGCCTGGGCCCCACCTCCTGTCGGATCAGCAGTGGTACTGGATTCTCATGGGAGCTGGAACCTTCCCGAGCATGACTGTTTCACTGTATTACTACACAGCAATGTGTTAGTGTTGGAAATGGCGTGCACAGAGGAGGTGCTGCACTTGGGTCATCCCAGGGCCAACCCCTCCACTTCCGGGGTGGAATTGTCTTCCATGAGGCCAGTCCCTGGTGCCAGGAAGGTTGGTGACTGCTGCTTTAGAATATTCTGAGCCTCATAAGCTGGCCTCAAAATCAGTAGTACGATGTGCAAACAGATGGTGCCACAGAGCTCCCTCCTGACCCACCCAGCTGAGCAAGCTCGTGAAGATAAGTTATTACAAGGAAGCTTAGCAAGAACATACGCTCGGTAAAGTGACTCAAGATCTCTCTACAGCCAGCCACATGGCAAGAATTAAATCACTCTGCTAAATCCAGCCCGTCTGAGGTGAACTAAGAACCATTTTCAAAATCTTGCATGAGCAAAAAGCATATATCTGGATTTTGCTGAAATCATTGGAGGAGATCAGAAGTTGTGCAATTCCAAGCAGCTCACCCAACCTCCCAAGGCAGGAAAGGCAAAGCCAAGGCTGTAATGGGAGTTGGCTCTGGCTGGCTGCCCCTGAAACCTGGCGAGGCCTCGGGCTTCCACACCTTGCTGCCCACTCATGTCATTCCTGGGGCTGACATGCAACAGCTAAGGCAAACCTGGAATTGCCAAGTGCAAGAATGATTGAAGGGCATTTGAGGTTTTCAGGTCCACACATTCTGCCTCACACGGGGAGGTCATCGACTCAACATTTTGGCAAAGCGCCCAGGAAGGTGTGTCTTCCTGGAGAGATCTTCCCCTAAGCTGCTCTGGTCTCAGCTGAAAAGAGCGCCCTGGCCACACCCCCCCCCCCCCAACTGCCCCCCTTTCTAACTGGGGAC